GCTACGGCGGACGCGGAGGGGCCGGAGGACGGAGCGCGGGCCGCGCGACGCGCCGTAGCCTCCGGGAGCTGACCGCTAGCCGGCGGTAGGGGCTGCTCGGCTCCCGCCCTCCTCTCGGTCCCCTCCCCTGCCTGGCCCGCCCTGCCCGGGCCGGCCCGATCCCCGGCACACGGCAGCCCGCGGCTGGTCGCCACGCCAGCCAAGTTGGGATGGGGGCCTGCAGCTACCGCCCGGCGCCCGAGAGGCCACCTGCGTGCTAGAGGCAAACTTTTGTCTCCCTCGGTAAAGTTGCATTGGCCTTCTTTTGCTTGCTTTTCCTTGCGAAGCGCCTCCTACCCCGGCCGACTGGGATGCTCCGCCGTACCGGAGGGTCCAGCCAGGAACCGGAGCCACGGATCGGGCATCGGGGCACCGGGCTTAGGGAGACTGGAGGCTAGTGGGGGCGACCCCGCTTCGGGCTCTGGCCAAGCAGGGCGGGGGCGGAAGGTGGGTCCTGGGGCTAGGAAGTCCTGACCGGGGGGTCGGTTTCGCACCCCTTCCCTTCCTAGGGGAAAGCGCCTCCTCTTCTCGGGGCGCACAGCCAGGCCGGCCTCCGCCCCGCAGCCACCGCGCCGAAGCCGGGGGCTGTTTTTGCAGGGGGCGGGGGTTGGGATCGGAGGCTGGGACGCTTCGAAGTTCCCGTAGGTGGGCAGTGGGAGCGTGTCTGCAGGAGTGTGCTGTGTGCGGAGGGGCTGCAGACAGCCACTAGTGAACTTCTAACTCCACTTCTCCGCGCTGCGCGTCCCGGAGCCCTGCCTTTCTTTCTTTCTCGCTCCTTCCTCCCCCTCGCCGGGCCCTATCGCCCCCTCCCCCTCGGCCTTCGGGCCTCCCTCCTTGCCTCTCTTCTCTCCTGCCCTCGGCCCAGAGATCCGCTTGACTTCCCGAAGGGATCCACACGTAATCCTTCGCCCGGTCCTCCGGTGCCCCCACCCCTCACTTTCATACCCGCCCCCCACTCATCGTCTTTCCTCCCCTCCCAGGACAATCTCTCAACAAGTATATTTGCTGAGGAATTTGAAAAATCCACTACTGCAACTTGATCTGTGTGTGATGGATGGGGAGAGGCGCGGAGAGACTAGGGCGCCAATCCTATTAAGGGTTTAGAGAGGGGAGCATTTTCCTCGGACGGGGGCGGGAAGGAGTAGGGTGGGGGGAGGGGGAAGGGAACGTGTGCTTGCGTGTGTGAGTGTGAGCGCGCCCGCCGCGCCGGGGAGCTGGAAGTCCACCCAACTCGGCGCCTTTTCAGCCCGGCAGTAATTGCTGTCATTTCCTAGGAAACCCGAATTTTACAGTGCGGGGAGCTGGGGATGGAGCCCGCGTGCCTCACCCCGGGTGACCGGCCGCAGAGGCGCTCGAGGGCCTTGGGTGCCTCCCAGAGTGCTGCTCTCCCCACTGCCCTCTCTTTTATGTAATTGTTGTGGGGCTCCCGGAGTTGATCCCAGCTGGAAAAGTAGACCAATCCCTAGAATCTGGTCCCGCGCCTGGGGGGTCTTTTGCGCGCCCCTCTGTCTGCCAACCCGGGCATCCTGCTCGAGGCGCGGCCTGTGGCGCGAGCTTTGCAGCCCGGTGGTCGCGGCGGTGTCCTGAGCCCCCGCCCCGCCGCCCTTGCCGGGCGTGTGAAGGTTTATCCCGACAGCTTCAGTTAAAGAGAGCAGTTGTAAAACGCTCATAGGCTGTTTGCAGACGAGGCTCTGGGGGATGTACGAGAATTTGAAAGTAAACGTTTCCCTCGCAAGCGGCATAAAATAGTGTTTAAACAAATATTGTATTGGCATGCTCAGGGGGCTCGGTGCCAAAAAGTAAAGTAAATAAACTGTGAAATCCAAAATATACAGCGGGGGGTGGGGGGGTGTGGAAGCGGCGGAACAGGCGGGCTTGTCACAGGTCTCCCTGATGAGATCTGTTTATTCTAGCCACCTCACCTACGAGGACCCCCGCCCATTTCCTTGCCTCGTTGGGAGTTTCCTTCGCTCGGCTTTCGTGCGTCTGAGGGCAGGCGCTCCCCGGGCCTGGGAGCTGCTTTTAGTTGTTCGGTGGAGGTGAAATTCATTGTGTGGCTACCTGGGCTGGTCTCCCCAGGGGAAGGGAGGGCACCCTGGCAATGCCTGGCTGGTTTGTGTTTTGAGACCTTAGGCTTTTCCCAGCTTCTGATTTGTCCTGGGGCGGTAACTCTAGAATGTAGAATCTAGACCCTGAAGATACATCCTATTGGGGCCTCCCTTCTTTCTTTCTGATCTCTCTTCTTGCGCCTCTTTCTTTCTTCCTCTTTCTTGCTTTTGTTTTCCTAGACTTGCTGCTTCTCTCCTGAGGGTCACAGGAAATTGTGGAGGTGTTCTCTCTGGGACTCAAATTCCACTCAAACCCAGCCATATGGAAAGTTGTCACTTGTCTAATGAGTTTTAAAGATAATTATAATTTGTAAGATTTAGGGCGGTTTTGTATTTGCCCTCTGCTTTGAGAAATATGCCAATTTCATGAGGCTATTTCGTGATTCTAGGGGGATTTAGGCTAACGCAGGGAAGAGCCTGCTTGCAGGCTGCCTGCCGAAGAGCTAGCCCTCTGGTGAACTGCCTTTCCCTTGGTCTGGCATCTGAGTGAGGGAGTAACTGTGGCCCGAGCAGTCTGTTTGCACCGTCAGTTGGAAAGAGTGAGAATGAGAGGAAGAAAACCCCTCCCAAGCCAGGGCCGGGGTCACCAAGGAACAAGATGGAACTGTTAGAGATGTTTTTCTCCTTTGTGGGAATTGATTTGACTGGAATTTGCACAGGGTTCAGACTCCTTCTGCAGAAACTTCCATGCTGTTCCCAAATTCAGCTTGCCCCAAGATGAGGCTTTGATACATGTGTGGAGCTAGCTGAGGCCCTTGTAGCCTGGTGGCCTTAGAATGGACTGCCACTACACTTTCACAGGGATGCTCCAGTCCACTCGCAGGGAGAGCACTGAGCAGAGAAGAAATCCTTTGAGTTGCCTGGTCGGAAGAGGGGCCACAGGCTGCTGGTCAGCAGCTCATTGCCTGGCTGTGGGGGTCTTGGGGGCTGTGTACTGTAGCTGGCTTGTTTGCACTGCAGACTGAAAAATACACAAATACTTCACGCTTTTTGTACTCCCACAAGTGCCCTGTACACAGTGCAGCCCTGGGGCTGGATTAGCAAGCCAGGGGATTCAGCACGCAGGCAGACAAAATTGGATATTTGCCTAATAAACACCCTTCTTCCATGGGGCCCCCTTTGGCCACGCCAGGGGAAAACTTCACTCCACAGATGCCAGCAATTCCCTTTAAACGAGACCAGGAGGTTGTCGTGTGCACTTTAAAAGCCTGTGTGACCCCCCTCACACCCAGCTGGCTTGTTAAAGCTCAAAACTGGAGTCTCGCGTCCTTATGTACTCTGTGGGCAGGGCAGCTGGCCTTTTCCTGGGGAAAGTGTGTTCAGCCAGGCTTTCTTTCATCTGCAGGGTGCTGGCTGGAGGGAGGTGGGCAAACCAGCCTTGCTTCCTTAGGCCGGGGCGGGTGGCGCGGGTTTCTACCTGTGCCAGAGTCTGTTTCCTGGTGCACGAGGGGTGGCCAGGCCAGGTGGACCTCGCTGAGGACAGCTGTAGCTGTTCCTGCTGGGCCGGGGCCCTTTGAAAAGGAACCCCAGGGAAGCAGTTTCCCCCTTTCTTCTTTTCAGTAAGTGTCAGAGTCATGGACAAATGAAACATGTGAAGAATGCCAAAGAGAGAAACAGTATTCTCAGATTCCAGAAAATTCAGAGTGGCAGAATAGGTGATTGTACCAACAACCAGAATGTATGGCAATTTCAGTGAACAAGGTCCACTTGCTTCTAAAGAGTGGGGGGAGGAAACACTGTTCTCTAATGTTTCCTCCAGCTTGTGAAAAGGTTTGGGGAAGGATCACTGGACAATGACATTTGATAGTGTCCTTTTGTAAAGAGTGGACCTTCCACATTTTCCTGGTTTTCAAATAGACACATAACACCAGATTCGATATTAATCATTTTCTCTAAAGTTAATTTGTTTGCTGTGGAATGTAAAGGAATACAAATTATTCATTATCGTTTTTAGATTTTGAGGGTGACAAAAGCATCTTTAACCTACAGAACTATATTTAAGACCCTGGAGAAAATGCACGGATGACAACAGCATTTGGCATGCTTTGTGTCTTATTTTCTCGAGTTCTTTCATCAACAGAAGAATCCTCAGTACTGTTTCTGTTCTGTTTCTGGTTTCTTAAAAAACATACATAACATACAATTGGCGAAAATAACTTATTTAAGAAGTGACCAAAGAGTACACATTAAACTGTTTTGAGATTAGGTTTTAAATTGAGTAAGTTAATGTGGTTTTGTGTGTGTCTCATGTGTGTTGTTGAAAAAAAAACCCAGGTTGCTGGGAAGTGTGTTTTAACTGTGAGTGCCGGGTTTCATCAATTAGCATAAGAAAAAAGTTTTAGTGCATTTAGAATTGTCTTGAATGAAGAGTTCAGCAAAGGAAGGAAAGCCGCAAAGGGGTGATGGTCCATTGAGATTCTTCAGCAGCCCGGCGCTTGTCATCTGCCTCTGAAATCTGTGATCGGATATCACTTTTATCTCGCTTCTCCATTCTCTGGCCTTTTTCACACGTTCACTTTTGTCAAGGTTTATTGATTATGTTTTCTTCTCTGCAAATCTGTGGAAAATTTAATGAACCAAAAACAGCAGTGAAATAAAGGGGACTTTTTATTCATTAGCATGGGATTGGGATTGATTTCCCCCCTTCGGGCAGTGGAGGGCCCCAGGACTCCTGCAGAGGAGCTGGCGGGGTGGAGGAAGGGTGGCCCTGCTGCAGGCTGAAGAGGGGCCTCCCCAGCCCTGTGGCTTCCTGGCTGACCAGCACGGGCTCAGCCCGTGACTCCTGTCCCAAGAGAGCATTAAAAGCTCACCCACGATGGCTGTTCCTGGGCGAGTCTGTGTCCAGCCACGTTGGAGCCCCTAGCCTTGTCCTCCAGGGTCCTAGCTCAGTGGGCTTGGGGTGGGGAGGAGGTGCAGGGATATTTGTATTCCCCAACCTTACAAACCATTTGAGTGCCTGGGCCTTCCCAGGGACACAGTTAAGTATCTCCCTTCCTCCAGACCCACCTCTCAAACCTGTAATTAAGCAAAGTTGCTGGTGTGATTAGGCTTTGCTGACTCGGCTGGGTTTGGAGCCGGTTCCCTGTATGAAGTGGGGTGAACTCTTGATCTTTCCAGAGGCTTCCTGGGCTGTCT